CTCATCTCTACAATAAATCAAAAAATCAGCTGGGCGTGGTAGCGCATGCTTGTAATTCCGACTGCTCGGAAGGATCGCCGGAGCTCAGCAGGCGAGGCTGCGGTGGCCGGGAGAGGCCACTGTACTCTCCAGTCTGGGCGACCGAGTGAGACTCCAACTCAAAAAAAGACAAAAACAAACAAACAAGAAGAAAAACCTTGGCTGCGTTCCCATGGGCTGATCCTTATGACCTTGAGCCAATGACAAATACAGAGCTTCTGGATCTATAAAATGGGAATAATAGCTCCCCGTAGGACGACCGTGTGGGTTTAAATGACTTTGTTTTCACACCACCCAGGGACCGGGTCAGAGTCTTAGGCGTCTTTGAGAAACCCCCACGTGCCAGGCCCTGGATTCTTAACCTACTGGAAAAGTACAACGAAGCCACGCCCCCTCATCACCGAGGATGACGTCACCAACCGAGTTATCTAGTGACGTCATCTCCGGGCCGGCTCGGCTTCTTCGTCTCTACTCCGGAAACCTCCGACTCCCGGCACCCGACCTCCGGCATTCGGTTATTTTTTTTTTTTTTTGTCTCCGTAGCCCGGAATCCTTTCTTCCCATTCTCCCACCTAAAACTATCGGCTCTTCCCGCCTTTCTTCAGGCTCGCAATTTTCGGTTCTTCCCGCTTGCTCTCGGGCGAACTCCTCCAAGGAGTTTACTTTCGGAGTTCATTAATCGCCTCTCCAGCCCCGCCCGATCAGTTCTCTCTAATCCCATTACCCGCGCTGTTGCTGTCGGCTAATTCCGCGTCCTGCCACCCACCCCGACTCCATCTTCGGCTCTTTCCGGATCATCTCAGTTCCACCTTCTTCCCCACGTCCGCTCGGCTTGGGCAATATCCGGCTCCCCTGGGCTTCTCGGTCTCTCTCTAGCTCCGCCCTCAGGCTCACCTTCGACTCTTTCCGACGCCCCCCTAGTCCGCCGTTTCCCGCTCAGCCCCTTTCGGCTCTTTCCGCCTCCCCTCGGCCTCGTTCACTCCCTTCGGCTCTTTCCGCCTCCCCTCGGCCTCGCCCACTCCCTT